GAGGTGAAGGAAAGTCTGGTCTCTGCCCTCAGATAATACTGCTCTGGCTGTCCAGATGACCCCTGCTCACCTCTAGCTTGGTCACTGTGGGCCAAGAGAAAAGGTGGCAACCAGATACCCAGTCTCAACCCAGAAGCTAAGAGGGTAGAGCAGGAGACTGAGGACTAAACTGTATCTATCTTCCCATTCTAAGCTGAGCTAGAAGGAAGGCCAGGCTGGGGCAATGACTTCCACACGTCTTACAGAAGGGCGCTACCTAAGTACAAACAGGTATACACCTGAGTGTTTCTGCCCTGCCACTCTCTGCTTTCTGATGAGATTCCCTTTGTCCAAACTCTCCAGGTAGGAGTAAAAGGACTGTTGTAAGTGTGGGCAGGTAGTGAAGGATTGGTTTTCCAATACCCTAATAAGTCCAGTCTGTTTTTAAGGCACCATGGGTTCAGAGTCTGGTCCTCACAAGTCCAAGGGGCTCGTGAAAGAACAAAGGCTCAGCCTAAGGGCAGAGAAAGGAGATTCCTCCCCCATGCTCCTGTCCCTATGGCTGGGTCCCTTTCCTCTTCAGATACCCTTCCCAGATGAGAGAGGGGTGAGAAAGGGATTAAAGGCAGCTAGTCACACACAACAGAGCTGCTGCCCCCTACTCTATCCTGTGGGCTGGGATGTCACTCTCTGATTGACACTAGAACCATATAAGTTGAAATGACTATGGAGAGCTAATCCAGCTCCTCCTGAACTCCTGGGTCATGTCATTTGAGATTCCCTGCTTTCAACTCTCCAAGAGGGACCAGAGCAGTGGATGCCAACTGCACCCCTCCATCTGTCCTCACAGTACACCAGAGATGGCCACATTGCTCCCACTGAGGTGATAGTAATGGTAATATGATTGTCCTGTTCCATCCACCTGTGCTGAACACTGGGCCTCCTAGAGTCCCTGGCACACCACCCCTACTCCTACCTCTGTCCTTGCTGGGGATGAGCCCAGCTGTCAAAGCCAAGGTCTATCTGGCCTACACTCTCCAGACTCATGTTGGGACTTGGTTCAGACTGCTCAGGGACTGCCAACCACCACCAGCAGCATGGAAAGCAGTGTGAATATCTCAAGACTCCTCAACTCTAGAGGGTATCAGGGACTGGTGTTTGCTGGTGGGGGCCTGGGGCCCTGGCTGGCTACCCGCTGATGATACATGTCCTCTCTCACTGGTCAAATTTACAACCCAGAGTATGTTGCCTAGTCACCTGGGCAATGGGAGGGCAAATAGGATAGAATCTGACAGATTTACTCAGTGCCTTTTACCTTTCATGGGTTCTCTGACATAATCTTTAGGCAATAAGGCCACAGGGTAGGTGCTGAGTTATCTGAAATTATTTTCTGCAAGAGTCTTAGAAATCATATAACTGGAAGCATGGGTTTCCTCAGTGATTCTTAAACTTTGCTAGGTATCAGAAGCTGGAGGCTGAGTATCTATTCAGATCCTTAGACCCCAGCCCACTCAGTGATCCTGAGCTTCTGGGGTCCTTACTAGTGTTCTAGAATAGTCTGAAACATACCAACTGTCAACTTGATGAGATCTAGAATCATCTGAGAGATGGGCCTCTGGGCATATCCATGGGAGATTATCTTGATTAGGCTAATTGAGGTAAGAAGACTTACCCACTGTGGGTGGCAACATTCCATAAGCTTGGGTCCCAGACTGTATAAAAAAGAAGCCTGTTGACCCCAATCTTATCTAAAGGAAGACTGACAACTGATTGCTCTAGCTAAAGGCTACATAACAAGCAACAATGCCAGATAGGGGATACCTTCTTTCATGTTGTTGGCCAGGGTGGCCAGAGGGACTCCCAGATAGTAACCCAGTATAGAAGTGGGGAAAATAAACAGCAGACCCCAATCTTATCTAAATGAATATTGACAACTGATTGCTACTAAATGAGGAACAGCTGACCTTCCTAAAACAAAGACCTCTAGATAGGCTGACTAGATTCACCAGATGGACAAGTAGTGGGGAATGGCTGGGGGTGCCGACAACGCAGCAGATGGGGTGCTGACAACACAATGGACAGTAGCAGGGATAACAGAGTATAAGGGCTCTAGTCGGGGAAGAGAGGCTATGGGAGGGTGCCATCTGGGAGGTGGGTGTATAGTTGAATATGATTTTTTGGGATGTTATGTGTGATATACACACACAGAAATCAAATTTTAAAAAATGTATTATATTTGAGGAAGAAGCATAAAGTTTTATGATAAAAATTTACGTCATGTTAATTAGTAGAGGTGATGAACATTACCACTGAAACTTACCTGATGACTTTATAGACATATACAAGTGCCAAGGATCCAAGTGCAACCAAGTATGACTAGTAATAATAAGATGCATACAGATTAGAGACACATGCACCAACATCTCAGTGTTACTAGCAGGAAAAATGAGTCTTTTTGCAAGGAACAATATATTCTAAAATGAAATGGAACTCTTTTTTAAAGGTTAAAAACTGGTTAAAAAACTCATTCAATTTTATGTCTTACAGGGCTTATACTGAGTTCAATATTGTATAATTGTATTAATTCAACTGTGAACCTAGAAACTTGCAGCCACTCGTCAAAGAGATATACTCTTGCTCCGGAATGTGTTACTGAATAAGTTAAAGCTGTAATGAAATGCTTCTTCTAATCATGTAGTTATTAAAATTTTTTTAAAAAATGCAAAAAAATATTATATCTTAATAAAGGGATGATAAACCTCTGCCTCCCAAGTGCTGAGATTAAAGGTGTGTGCCACCATGCCCGGCAAGATCTTTTTTAAAGGTTACATTCAATTTTATGGCCTACAGGGCTTATACTGAGTTCAATATTGTATAACTGTATTAATTCAACAGCGAACCTAAAAATTTTATAGCCACTTTTGAAAGCGCTGTATCTTTTCTCTGGAAACTGTTATTGAGCATATTAAAGCTGTGATATGCGTCTTCTAAAAAAATAATAAAAAATAATTTAAAAAAAGAAGCTTGTTGAGCACAAGTATTCATTAATCTCTTCTTCCTGACTATAGATGCAATGTGACCAGTTATTTCAAGCTCCTGCTGCCTTGACTTCCCCACCATGATGGACTGTGCCCTAGAACTGTGAGCCAAAATAAACACTTTACCCTTAAGTTGTTTGAGGTTTTTTTT